GCCAATCCAGTTAGATTCCATCAGCCACACTCTGTAGGCAAACCGAGCTTCCATCCTTCACTATCTGCGGTTGCGATCAGATGGACCCTGGAGCAGCAGGCATAGATCCCTAAGGCAGGCGGCAAACACGCGTGGTCTCCCACGGCCCCTCTCTCTCATACACACTTCTCAGCTGCTGTACCAAGGCCTTCATACAAAGGGCACCCCGTGCCCTCGTGGATTTGCTGTGCATCCACCAGGACATGGTCTGAGGCCACTGCTGATGGTTGGTTTGTGCCAAATTGAAACCCGAGTCCAGGGAGGACGTTGAGACACCAACTCTTCTCTCAGGTCCCCTTTTCAGGGCTTTTGGGAAAATCTTGAATTTGCCTTCAGTTAAACACTAAGTCTAGCCATGATTTTCAGTTTTTCAAAGACCACTGAGTATGTGTTTCTAAAACCGAGACTCTAATTCAGGCCAGTGGAAGGAAAAGGTTATTGGGTTCAGCACTTGGTCTCAGGGACCATCCTTGAAAGTAACCACATTATTGTTGTAATTTAAAACTTGATCTACAGCTTCTCTTCAGCAAATGGTGACGGAGGTGGCAGTGTCAAGGTTAAAACATAAATTGAGAAAACAGACTAACCAAGTGACGAGACTTCTCAGTAAGAGATGGCAACACACACGTGAATAAATACACAGGGTCTTTAGGCAAGGAATTAGCTCCGAATGAATGAGGTGGGGGATTAATTAACTTCAACCACAGGTTAGGATTTTCAGATCCTATAATAATACGCTCTGAGATGCTGAGAATCTGCTTAGAGTTTTGCTTGGGAAAAACTACTTACTTACAAATATTAATAAAAGTTCATTTTCCCAAATTACCGGTAGCCCCTAACTAAAATCTATGATGGTTATGCACTCTATTTCTCAATAATAAATAAAGATTTAATAGTTTCTTGGGTGAAAGTATAGGCTGATTCAACTTCTCAGCATGCATCTATAATGTTTAATAACAATTGTATTGTTATCTTCAAGAGAATACGCTTTAACAGTACCTACCTCTTGAATTACCAGCAGGATTTTTAAGAATCTCAGACATAAAGTGTCTGGGTTGCAGGGTTTCCTGGTGGTTCCAAAGCTAACATTTTAAGTAGGCTTGAGCTGTGCAGTTCCACAGACCTGCCAGCTGTGTTTCATGGTGGGATGTGATGCTCTGTTACTAAAAATCACAAAGAAAAACAGAAAAGGGTGAGAGGGTTATGTGCGAAATCTTCCTTAAATGATCTCAATGTGTGGGGAAGCCTTTCTACACTTCTTAATTATGTATTCATAAGACTTTTACCATGTGACACGACAGTGTTTTTCTAGGTCTGCTCGTTCTGCTAAGCAGCACCGTGAGGGTGGGAGGGCTTGTTTCTTCTGGGTAAATTAAGGTCACCACGGGAGCTGTTCTTAAACTGCCCTTGATATGGCAAAGAGAAAAAAAACCCAACAGTTTGTGCTATACAAATAATTAAAAGATCTTGTCAGTTATAAAAATGATGATTTTGCCTTTTAGATATTTTTATCCCTAATCGTAAAAAGGTATTGGTATTAAAGTTCAGATGTCCTGTTAGTTAAGTGAGAAAGAATGAATGAAATGGAATTAGTGCATAGCTAAAATAACCATGAGGCGGGAGAGGAATGATTCACACTTTTCTGTAAAAAAGCTAGTTTATAGATCATTCTGTAATTTAAAATGTGTGCATCGTAGTAACTTAGAAAGCAGCGGGGGAGGGTCACAAAACTCCCATGTCCACCAACAGTCACATCTGGAACGACTGTAATCAAACATTTATTTCCACGTGTTTGAATCAGATGCCAGGAGCGACTCACACCGGTGTGAACAGGTGCTGTGCCTGTCACTGCAGGGTGTGGCCTGTGCCCACTCTGGACAGAACGGAATGCAGCATCATCCGACACAGCGACCTCTTCTTCCTCCTGTCTCTCAGCTTTCTCATTTTCCTGCAGGGTTTTCCAAGCTCCCGAAATGGCCAGTCTTTGCTAGGAATGGCCTGTCCAAATGACAATCTATGACACTCCCAGGGAAAACAGACCAGCAATGCAGACAGTGGCAGAAATCAGGACAGTCGCAGCAGTGTTAAGCATTTAGGCCCTCTGATATTTTGCTAAGGAACAACAAGAAAAAACCCACATTGCTTTTAATTGCATCCTCTTGAACATATATCGCTGTAATGAGGGGATGTGTGTGTACCTGTGTACGGTACCCATGGGAAAATCAAATGTGTTTCTAATGTCTCTTATCTAACAGAATATGCAGTAAGCATCAGTTCACAGCTTGATTTTATTTTACCAAGTATAGGTAAATTTTTAACATCAATAAGTTCAACGGTTTAAAAAAAAATCAAAGATACACATTTTTCAGGACCCAAAACTGATTCCGTGTACTTTCTTGAGCAAATTTATTTTCTGTGTGTAAATACCATCAACTTATTTCATGATGATTTTTGGGTACAGAGAAAGATGTACATTAGTGGTCGTTCTTTTAAAAAAACATGGAATTTCAGAACTGAAAGGATTTGAGGATCCCCAAATTCTACCCTCCTCCGGCAGATAGGAAAGCAGCTCTGACCGGGCAGCGGCAGCGTGAGGGTGCTCTCCACGCCAGGCTCCCGCCGCAGGTGCCCGCCCGGACGGTGCAGAGGACCAGGGTCACGCCCAGCCTCACTTGGTACACAAATGCTGAACGGAGAACGGTAACACGAAACAACGACGACAACAAAAACCCTCTGTTGTGATTTCATTGTGAAGTTTTCCTGTCATAAAGAATACTGAGAATCAATACCCACCATTTCCTTCCTAAATGAAAAGGGGGAATGCCATTTTCTTCCTCGTATTATATGCAATATTTTGTAGACCGAATTCTAACAAAAAGCAGCCAACACATCTGCTGGTCTGAACGTTTCACGTCCTTTTAAACGCAGCCCTTTGTTGTACGAAACTTTTCAAAGGGATCAACAAGTCCTCGCTCCCTGTTTCAGTGCCAGTAATCAGCAAATGAGCATGGGGCTGGGACACAAAGGCCTGAACGCGGGGCCCTCAGGTCGGCGGTGCTGGTGGGGGACAGGCGGGGGACAGGAGGGGCAGAGCGACCCACGTGTAGCCTGAGAGGGAGGGGAGGTTTGGACGCTGTGGTGTCAGACAAACAGCCACAGCGAATCCAGTGATCTGAAGCTGGTTGGGCTGGAAACGTACCTGCAGCCGAGTAATAAATACCCCGAAGTTCATGTGGATCTTAAAACACAGAATGGAGACCGGGTCACGCCTGCCAACCACAGAGGAAAGCAGGTGGGGCCCGAACCTCCCGGCTTCCACGGGGCCAGTATTAAACAGCGGAGCGCTGGAAGACATTTGCTGTTTAGCCCTTTAGCAGTACTTCTTAATGAGCTTAAATGTTACTGTTTCCTGTAATGAACTTAACATGTATTTAGTTTCTAGGACTGTTGGCATTTATGACTCTTTGATCCTCAGTCTATGTCACCCCAGTTGGCATCAGAAAGCTGCCAACACCCAGGTTCGCTAAGCCAGACACCTCTGATCTTACCTCTGGGAGGATTTTCGAAATACAAGTCCCTTTTATCCTGCATTTTATTTATATGAATTATGTTAATTAATGAGCAATTAATTGCTGATTCTTTACTTTAAAAAAACTGAATTTACTCTCTGATTTAGTCAGTTTACATGTTATAATTTCTATTCTAGCATGGAAATCAACATAGTTTGATTTCTAAGGCTTACAGTATCTGCTGGAGGGTCGGCTGGACTGGTTAGTTTACTGGTTAGTACCTTTATCACTCCTGAAAAGACACCTGGCACTTCCCAGGTAAAAGGTTCTGTAGCCTCTTGGTTATCAGTAGCTATTTTAAAAATTTTTTAAAAAATTGATAATATATTTTGAAATCCAGGAGCTATAAAATCATTTAATGTTTTAAGTCTCATCAAATGTTATGAGTGAGGCAAAGCTTACTTTAAGTCACGGACGTTCTCCGTCTGGAACTCCGCTGCGTGGACCCGCCATCAGTGACCTCACAAAGCTGCTGCCGCCACAGTGACCGCCGCCCCACCCGCTCCTGTCCCGTGATGTGATTGGATGCGCGACTATTTGCTCAAGTGACCTGAAAAGCCGGCATTTTCACTTCATGCTAACGACAGGAAGGCAATTCTGAGTGGTCATTTCTGGGCAATGCAGAGTCTCTGACATGCAGGCATTGCCTACCACATCTTCTTTCATCACAGATATAAGAAAAATCCACAACTACGAGGCTGAATTTTTATTTCAGAAAAAAGCAAAAATTAAAAATTTCAAAACCAATGAAGAGGCTCTGAGACACTGCTTAAATCTAAGTGGTCCACCTGCACCGGCCTTCCCGGCGGGAAAACCGTGGACACGCACCCACCACATGACCACCTCCCCAGACTACACCTTCTTCACTGGAAGAACCAAGGAACGCAATTCAGAAATAATAGGACATCCTGCATTTTATTCAATTCCATATGACAAAAATAGTAACCTAGACTAAGACATCCATTTCAATCAGTAGATGTGTCAAGCCACAAGATTTAATAATAAAAAATACTGGGTCTTGGTAACAATCGCCCACTGCTCAGAGGCCCCAGCCCCGCATGGCATTACAGTATAAAAATAGTGTCTCTCTTCGCCACGCAGAGGGACGGCCTGGCCCCGCGCGCTGGGCCTGCATGAGCACTCTTATGTACAACGCTGTACATTTCTCTTTAGTTATATACACATCCTTTTGGGGGGAGACAACACTATATGGTACCAAACACTAACCGAAAAACAAACAAAACACACACACACACCAAAAAGGACAGATAAATAATGGGAACATTCAGCTGCTGAAACACAGCGACCCGAAGCCACCTCAGCTTTCTCTGCCTAACGCTTGTGACACCCCGAGCCCTCATCCTATGAGAAGAGACGGCACGGTGGGGCAAAGTCACATCTCATCACCGTGGGAAACAGAGCTGTAGAGTTCCAACTTCGTGTCCAGTAGAAATAAACAGCTCATGAGCTTTCGATCCTCTTTGTTCAGTGACACGCTGGCAGAAACAGCCCATCCTCTTACAGTGACTTTTGCTGCTGCCGTGGTTATGTTAGGAGAAGATTGTTCTGTTTCTGCTTCAACTGAGAAGACTCCGCGGTCTGGGTCTTTCTTCAGGCACGCAACTCCTGGCACTGTTACCCAGCTACCAGAGCAGCCCTTAACACTGCCGTTGTTGGAAGGTCATAGTGTCAGACGCAGCACACTTGCAACACACGAAAATGAGGTAGTTCACACAACGCCGCCTTCACCGCCCCCGCCGCCCGGGCCCTCCCGGCTGGAGGCTCGGCCATCCGCACCAGGCTGTGTCTGAATCATCAGAGGACACTGTGCTTTGCTTTCATCTGAGAAGATAATAAATAAATCAGGAACTCGGAAAATTTCAAAGTCATGACTGATTGTACTGCCTGATACTTGCTGTTTCTCTTGGGTTTCCCGTCCATGTGACCAGTGCCGCCAGGCAGCCACAATCTTGTCTGTGGGTGTGAGAGACCCGCTTACATGAAGCTCAGAACTGCACAATGTCCTCTAGGTGCCTTCCTGGCTTGCACTGATGTCACCGTCCTGGGATGGACGCACCAAGGTTTCCTTAGGGGTGGTCACAGCTTTTAAATGGGCTTTGTACAAAAGTTAAGTAAATCATTTTAAGAAACGGCAGGCCCTGTTTTACTGAGGAGCTGACAAGTTTGGTGGCTTTCCTGTGTAAGTGGCATGGATTTTCACTATTGTTTGACTGTAAGACAAAACAAGAAACAGGTTTTTCCCCCATTTTCCTTAAACCAAAGTACTATTTATAAAATACTTTACATCTTTTTAAATTTTCAAATTATAGACAAACCTCCCGAATACAAAATACTAAAAGTGCAATAGTATAAATTAAGAGTTTGCAACCACATCATACAAACATTACTTTTTATTGTACAGTGTTGATAATGTGAAGTATTTTCTCACAGCTGTTTATAATGCTGTGAGTGATTTACGGTGATGTCTGTCTGTAACTTGCTCCCCAGTCCCTGGGCTACAGACCACACTAGGAAACAACTGTCCACATAGCAGCTACAAACATTTAAATTAAAAAAAAAAAAAAAAAAAAAGGCTTGTTACTGACAGGTACTTGCACACAAAAAGCATGCTATCTTTCCCAACGGAACTTCACAACTTTGCCTGCATTGAAATAATTCACTTATCTTTAGTAAAACAAACCTTGCTTTAAAAACAAAATCACATAGCCAGATGTATTCTGCGGTACAAAAGCTTCATTTAAGATCGGGCTAGTATATTGTCTGTTACCCGCATAATCTTAACATTATAAATACTACAGACGAAGATACTGTTATCATATACAGCATGGGGAGATCTAAACCACGTCTCTGCGATGAAGCGTTCTAAAAAACATAGTTCAAGTGTCTCAGTCAAACGAAACCATCGGATGAGTTTCACTGGAATACTGCAGGGGACCGTTTCTCCCTCTAGAGATTAGTCGGTTTTAGGGGAAAGGAAGGGGACATGTTGTGAGCTCTTTCTGGTCCTAAGACGGTTTTTCAAGCACTTTTTCTGACGGAAACTTATTTAAAAGATTGCAGAGTTCTCAAGGACAGTCAGGCTTGCCGCTGAGAGCACCATGCATTGCTTCCAAGACCGCCTCTCAGCAGCCACACGGTGAAAGCGTGTTCTGCTACGTGTGAAACTCAGGAGAACTGAGGCAGGAGAGGTCAGACGCCTGATGCTCCAGCCCCGGGCCTGGGCAGGACGGACGCGCGAGTCACGGGCTAGTTGATCCCAATCTCCTTGTTGTCCTCGATAAACCGTGTGAACGGGCGGCCGGCTGCTGTTTCCGAGCCTGCTTTGTCCAAGCTGACGATGGGTGGGCTGCTGCCGGTGCGCGCCTTGTCCATCCCACCGGCCATGGTGCCCAGCGGGGGCAGGGCACTGCCCCCGAGACTCACGGGGAGCTGAGGGATGCCTCCGTTCTGAATGACGGAGATCTCATTGTTCTTCATGGCCAGCCCGTTAGTGATGGCTGCAGCATACTGGTTCCAAAAATTGGGGTCAACATTCATTGCCCGGGCTGCCAGGTCCTTCTGGAACATTTCAGAGAACTTCAGGGCATCACCCCCTAGGAGAGCCATGGGGTTCTCCACAGACAGGCGGCGGCCGCGCCTCGCGGGGGCGTTATTCCACATGTGCGTCCCCATGTGCACCTGCGCGAGACATGGAGACAGCCCACCAGTAAGCGCCCAGCCACGGAGGCGGAGCTGCTCCGCTTCCACGGCGGCAGACAGAGGGCCACCCCGCTCCCAAGCACCACTCAGGGGCAACACAACACTGGTGGACGTTTCTGGGCACTTTGTATTTCTACATGCAACATCTCGTTTTATTGAATACAATAAACAAAACCAATAAATATAAATTAATGAATGTGACCTTTCAGTTGACAAACTTCAGAGTGATTTTCCCTTAAGGTGTAAAATCCACGTGGCCACCCAGAGAATGTTCTGGAGCTCAAATGGTCCGGGTCTGGTGCCTTCACTCGCCTGAGCCCTGGGTCCCCTCCGGCCTCCCGGCCCCCCACCCTGCAGCTTCTGTGCTGGGACTCTGACTGCCTCTCTCGTCTTGCTTTCTCTCAAATAAGAAACATTAACACTGGAACATCCCAGGGCCACCTGTGGCCAGCCGGTCCTTGGGCGGTTCTTCTCTGGCCCACACATGCCCGGGAGAAACCATAGGCACCAATCTTTGGGCTGTCTGAAGAGGCTGCCGGGGCCCAGACAGGCTGGCTTTGCAAACGTGCACTTCACAGACGACAGAAACCAGCCATCAGCCGACAGTGCAAGGCACTGCCCGAGCCGCCCAGCGCTCGCCACACCCCCGTCTCTAACGCTGCTGCTGGGGCCTCCCACAGGAACACAGCACAGTGCTGGCTCCCCAGCCCCACGCCGGGAGCTTCTCACCCAGCACCCTCCTGTGGGCCCTCTTGGCAGCCACAAGGACGGAACCACAGGGCCTGCTGGGCGGCCTTGCCTTGGAACTGCCTGTATGACGTGTGAGGTTCAAAGCTAAGTTGACTTTTTATCAGATTCGAGAGGGCTCTGGGCCCTGGGCCTGCCCACCAAGTTGCAAAGTGAGTGTTCTCACCCCTAACTAATGCCTGACTCCTGCTGAAGCCATCAGAGGCCCAGCTGCATGTGGCCCCAGGAGAGGCCCAGCCTCCTGTTCCTCCCACAGCCGCTTAACGGGATGCAGTCTATGTGTGTGCGCACAGGGACACACAGGCGTGCCAGACCACACACTGCATGCACATTTTCACGTGCACGTTATACATGTATGAATACCTCACACACCCCACATGGGGCACCCACACACGCACTCATGTGACCCTACACACGACTACACGTTACTCACATGCACACTGTACGCACACACATCACACCCTACTACATACACACTACTCACCCACATGCACATCCTGCTACACACCCATACCACCCACACATGCACACACCCTATCCACACATCACACTACACATCACACACATGCATGTATACCCATGCACACCCTACACACATCACACCCTACCACACACCCACACCATGCTACTCACCCACATGCACACCATACACACCCATACCACACATGCACACCCTACATACATATCACACCCTACATTCACACCACTCACCCGCATGCACAGCCTACACACCATCACACCGTGTGACACACCCATACACTAACCCACGCACACCCTACACACACCCTGCTACACCCACACCACACACATGCATGTACACGCACACACTCCCTACACACACCCCTACTACCCACCCACAGCACACACATGCAGGTACACGCACACCCTACACACACCCTACCACACACCCACAGCACACACATGCATGTACATGCACACCCTACCACACACCCACAGCACACACATGCATGTACACGCACACACTCCCTACACACACCCCTACTACATACCCACACCACACACATGTACACGCACACCCTACACACACACCCCCACCACACACCCACACCACACACATGCATGTACACGCACACCCTACACACACACACACACACACACACCGTATGTATACCCGTGCATGGGTATACATACGCATATACACCACGCTACTGACCCACATGCACACCCTACGACACACGCACACACCCCCCCAACACGCGTGGCTTCTGGTCCCCTGGCCAGGACGGGAGCAGGACGGAGGAAGGCGCCGAGGCTGGGCCGCACCGCAGCCGGACTGGAGCCCGCCGTGCTCTTACCTTGAGGTTGCCCTTGGTGGTGAAGGCCCGGCCGCAGATGGTGCAGCCGAACGGCTTCTCCCCGGTGTGCGTGCGCTCGTGGATCTGCAGGGCGCTGGCCGAGGAGAAGGTCTTCCCGCACGACTGGCAGTTGTGCTGCTTGGGCGTCCGGCGCGGCGGGGGAGCCAGCATGGGCGCCAGGCCGGGGCCCATCAGTGTCTGAGGCCCAGCAGGGACCTGGACGCCCGTGGGCAGCGGGGGCCCCTCGCCCAGCGCCATGGCCTTGCCGTGGCCGTTCACTTCCATTTTGATCATGGTGGGCGCGGCGCCGGAGACCGGGCTAGGAGTGCTTTGGCTGGGACCTAGAGCAAAGTTGGGGTCAAATAACGGAGAAGGCAGCTCTTTCAATCCGTGCGTCAGCAAGTGCTGTTTTAAATTACCCATAGTGGAGCAGCCCCGCCTGCAGAGCGCGCAGACGAACGGCCGCTCCTTCGTATGGCTGCGGTAGTGGATTTCCAACGCGCTCTTGCAAGCAAAAGGCTTGCCACAGACACCACACACAGCGCTGGGACACTTACCCCGCTCTCGGTTCAGGAACAGCAGGCTGAAGGGCGCCTCCTCCTTGATGCCCGCGCGGCCGGGGGCGCCTCCGAGGCTCGGGGCGGGGGGCGGGCTGTCGGGCCTTTCAGTCTTGAGCGCGATTTCCGGGGGCTCCTCCTGGGCGCCGGGGCCTGGGGACTTGGAGCGGAAGCTCTCGCCGTTGCTGGGGGCCGGCGACAGGGCCGGCGAGGACTCGGACTCGGACAGGGCGGGGCTGCCCGCGCTGCGGCTCTCCAGGTCGCCCACGGCCGACGACGAGTCGTTGCTCAGGCGGTCGCTGTCCCCAGACCCGTTCTCCACGGACTTGAGGCCGGCCAGCTGCGGGCAGCTCATGACCGAGTCCATCATCTTCATCTGGTTCTCCAGAGCGGCGATGCTGGAGATGACCGAGGGCGGCGACGGCGGGCAGGACCCCGCGTAGGGCAGGAGCGGCTTGGACAGGTCGCCGGCCGCGTCCTTGAGCTCCGCGTCGTCCTCCATGGAGTTCTCGTCCATGTCATCGTCGAAGCTGCTCAGCGTCTCGGCGTTCTTGTCGTCGTAGGCCAGCTCGGAGTCCATGGCGTCCTGGAAGCCCTCGGGCAGCGGCGTGTTGGGGATCTGGCCGCCCATGTGCATGCGGATGTGCTGCTGCAGCACCACGGCGTTGGTGAACTTCTTCTGGCAGATGGGGCAGGAGTGCTGCACGCGCAGGGGCGGCTTGGCGCGGTGCACGCCGAAGTGCGTCTTGAGGTTGCCCTTGGTGGTGAAGGCGCGCCCGCAGATCTTGCATTTGAAGGGCCGCTCGCCCGTGTGCGTCCGGTAGTGCATCTTCAGGGCGCTCTGGCAGCTCAGCACGCGGCGGCAGATGACGCACTGGTTCGGGTCCGTCATCTTCTTGTCGATGTTCTCCACCAGCTGTTGCAGCTTCGAGGTTTCTGACGTTTGCATGGAGTCCAGCAGCCCACCGAAGGGAAACTGGGCCTTGAACTGCTCGGAGACGGCGGGGAGCCCGGGGCTCCCGAGGCTTGTGGTCGCGCTGTCCGTGGCGGCAGTGGCCGTGGGCCCGGTGCCGGCCTGCGCTCCTGTAGGAGCGTCCCCGGCCCTCGGGTTGGTGCAAGGCAGGCTAACCGGCTCGGCTTTAGTTAGGGGTGGCCCGGCCAGGAGCGGTTGTGGGGACTCGGCGGTGGCCGCCACGCCGGACTCAGGGTTGTTGAGGCCGGGGGACAAGGAGGCGCACTCGCTGGAGGCGGGCGAGGGCCTCTGTGGGGAGCGGCTGGCGGGGGTGGCGCTAGGGGAGTCGGTGTAGCCCAGCGTGCCGGGGACAGTGGGCGGCAGCTGCAGCCCCACGGACGTGGGCACGGTGGGCAGCACGGGCTTGCTGTCCAGCCAGGTGGTCACGGGCTTCTCGGGGGGTAGCGACATGCCGTAGGGGATGCCCGAGCAGGTGGGCACGTTGTCCAGGTACTCGGGGACCGGGTATGGGTTCATCTGGATGTGCGGGTACTTCTCCTTGTGCCTCTGGAAGTGCACCTTCAGGTTGCCTTTGGTGGAGAAGCGGTTCCCGCAGATGTTGCACTTGAAGGGCCGCTCACCTGTGTGCGAGCGCAGGTGGATCTGGAGCGCGCTGTCGCTGCCGAAGACCTTGGCGCAGAAGCGGCATTTGTGCTTGAAGAACGGGTCCTCGGCGCTGGCCTTGGGCTCGAACACCGACACGTTGGGCGGCTTGCCTTTGCGGTGCTTCATGAGCGCGGACAGTGGGTCCAGGGCGTTGGCTGTGGCCGCGATGCTGACCAGCGGGTTGGGGAAGATGACTCCGCTGGTGGAGGTCTGAGGTAGAAGCGGGCTTGGCAGGCCAGGCGCTGCGCCCAGCAGAGACCCGGGGCCCAGCGCGGGCGGTGTGGACGCGCTCTGGGGCTGCGAGGAGGCTGCGCTGCTCTGCGGCGCCGGGGTCGGGGCAGCGGGGGCGGCGCTGGGGGCCACGGGGGCGCTGGGCTCGGTGGGGCCGCCGGGGGTGCTGGCGCCGGACGCAGGCCGGGACAGGGGCTGCGCGCCCTCGAAGGCAGCCGGGGCGACAGGGCCTGAGCCTGCGGGGTTGGCGGCGGGGGCCCCGGCCGAGAGCGGGAGCGCGGCCAGCCCCGGCAGCTGCGTGGGGGCCGGGCCCGGGGCGCTCGGGGCGGCCGCGGGGCTGAGTGAGGGCCGCGGGGGCGGGCGCTGCATCAGGGCCACCTGGCTGCGGATCTGCTCGATGAGCTGCAGCTGGTGTATCTGCTGCTGCTGCAAGGCCATGAGCTGCTCCAGGATCAGGGGCACGGCCGCCGCCGCCACGCCGCCACCTGTGCCCGAGCCGCCCGCCGCGCGCGCGCCTTGTGAGAACTGCGCCACGGCCACCTTGGTGCTCAGCAGCGCCTCCAGGGTCACGTTGGTGCTCGGCGCGCCGTAGGCGGGTGCGGGGGGCGCGGGGGCCGCGGGCGGGGGCCGGGGCGGGTGCGTGTCCCCCGCGGGCTCCGCGTCCATGGGCTCGGCCTCCTTCTCCACGGGCCGGGCCTCGCCCTCCGCGCCCTCCGCGCCCCCCGCCTCCTCCGCCGCCTCGCTCTCGGCGCGCTCGCTGGGGGAGCTGGCGGGCGAAGGCTCGGGGAAGTCCTCGGCGGGCGGCGCGGGCGCGTCCTCGTGCACGATGAGCACGGGCGGGAGCTTGGGGCAGCTCCGCTGGTGCTCCAGGAGGTCCGCCCACTGGAAGAACTCGGCGCAGCATTTCTCGCACACGCTGGTCTCCTCGCCCCCGCTGCGGCTCTCGGGCCCGCTGTCCGCGTCGTCCGCGCCTTCCCCCGGGGCGGCTGCAAGACCAAGAGATTGCGTCAGCCGGGGCCGGGCGCCCGCCTCCATCTCAAAATTTTGCAAGCGTAAAATCAATATTTTTTATTTTGTACAAATTACCCCACTTCAACATGTCTGACGTCCCAGCGTGCGCATGCTATGACTCTTTCTAGCTAGCTAATCATTTTCTTAGCCCAATCCATCAAATTATGAGGCCCTATCAATTGTGGATACTGCTTCCTAATGAAATTCCATAGAAGTCATTGATTTCCAATATTTTCATACAATCCGCGGCTACACTGTCTGTTGGCTACAAAGCCGGCTTTCGATGGGCTCATTAGGATTCCCCTTTACCGTCCAGCTTCCTCATTTCCAGCAAAATTAGAGATGCCTTTGCCAGTTCACTTAACATTGCTGAACTAATCTGTAACCTTTCCAACTCACATCAGCACCTGACAGGGCCGCGCTGTGGCCGGTGTGGTCCCCACCACGCGTATTTCTCATCTTCATGCAACGCGGACAGTCCACATTTAAGGTAACGTTACGGACAGAACCTTTCAGGTCAATGGGCATTTACTTTATGTAGGCAATTTTGCCTCAATATTTTCATTTGTGAATGTAACAAAGAAAACATGAGCGTTTCTTCCATCAGTTCAGAAAAACAATCTCCCCCGACTCAGAGCAACAGAGCAATCCCTCTCTCTGCCCTTGTGCTCTCTTCCAGATACGGTACACTTCTGCATTTTAGGATTTGCCAAATCCGTATCAATACAGTCTAGGCATAAAACACATCATGTTTAACACAATTAATTGGCTCTGTCACAGGCAATATTTCTTGGCAAAATGAACTAAAATTACATGTTACTGTTATTAGCCAATAGAATTCGGTGGTCTGTTAACAAACTAGAAATTATGTATTTAAAGTTCATTTATGTTGACATGTTTAACATGAGGATGCTGTAGTCAGACACACTTTTTGTACCTACTTTCATCTATTCTCATAGAAGACTTAGCAAATTATATGCTTGCGCCATAGTGGAAACCCTTTAATTGGTTACACATGTTTAATTACTGTTGCAGGCAGCCACTTCCTCTGTCTCCCCTTACCCTCTTGTGCCGAATAACAACCAAGTTTAATGAACAACTCTAATTCACACCTGATCAAATAAATAGCTATACAGGAACGAGAAATCAACATACAGCAACGTCGCTACCTTCCATTTTTTGGGTGGTTGGGGTAAAAACGAATTTCCAACAATTACTCTGGTTCTCTGTGCTTGCCTGGATATTACTGACTTGTAACTGCTTTTTGTCAACTTACAGATGGAGTGACGGCAACAAATCAGCTCCAACAGACACAATGACAGCTGCACATCAGCTCTTTGTTAAACGCGCACCGTTGAGTGTGAGAACAAAACATCTTCAAGTCGGTGTCCCCGGAAATAATTTAATGTTAGAGCACCAACAAACGCATTTGCTAAAAAGCTCCAACATCTGTTGTTGACCTTGTTTAGGGTTTTGGAAAAAGAATAATTTAGCACTGAGTTCAGAAAATTCTGATTAAAAAAAAATATCGTGTAAAAACATACTTTTCCTCTACTGGAAAAGAAAAATATTTTCTGGAGGCTAGTTTGTGACTCACTATGAAGGCATTATTCCCAGGTAATTTATACATGCCTTTAAAAAATTATTAGCAGTGTTCAATTAGCATTTTCTTAACTGGCTAAACCATCTGAAGGGGAGAGAAGTTAGAGCTTGCAGCCCATAAAACCTGCTAGACTTTTAAACGACATTCAGCACTGAAGATCAGACTGCAGCAAGAAGTCTCATTACTGTATGGAGCAAGGAATGTAATAGGTATCTGTAATGAGGTTGACTGTAGCTGGAAGCAAAGACACAGCTGATTGATACTGCAGATAGGCGCATTAGCAAAATAAATACTCCGCGTACTCAACTTTGCTCAATGTATGCAAAATCTAATTTTAAACCCCCAAAGGTTATGAAGCAGGGCAAAAAACAAAAAGGGCCTCAAATGTTCAGGTAAGTAGTTTCTTAATGATTGATAACAAATAAGGCCTAGCTCAAATTCTAGTCATGCATCTTAAAAATAATCACAAAATGGAAAGAATGTCCACTTTTAAACTTATTTCTAGGACTGGAATGTTCTTCAGCAGACTTGCATGTTTAAAAACAAAAATCTAAGTAGCCATTAAAAAGTGCATCTGCATTAAGCGTCCACATACATCTGTATGCACAGAAATGACTACTGTACCTAGACAAGGAGCAGGATTTTAAGGGGTTTTCCAATATTTTGAAACTATGATATGAAATATTTTAAAATGGAACATCTCAATAAACTAAATGCTTGCTAATTACACTTAACTCCTTATAGGGCATAAAATGTATAACTTATAACATGCTATACAAAAACATTCAGGCAGTATATACATTTGCAGTTTTACAAAGCGTGTATCTTACTAAGAGAATACTTTTGCTTTCTATGGACTATGTATTAGAGGCAGTTCTTTGAGAAAATGCTTTAAAATTAGGTTGATTCCTGGATCATTAAAAGTGAGTTTAGTGTTGAAAAAATTAACTTACATAACCACAAATAAATTTTATCCTTAAAACTGAACATCTCCCAGATTATGTCACAAAAGATCTTGTGGTTTTTGCAAAGGTCCTGACCCAAACAAGTCTCTGTTTACCTGAACGATCTGCATTTTTACATTCCCAATAGTTTTTGTTTTTTTAAAAATATGTTAAAATATTTTTAGGGTTCACTTCCTAATTCATGGATGTTGGGAAGTGTTTCCACAGGCAGTAATTTCACTTTTCCCACTGGTAAGTTTGCTGAATTGCAACTGTTTCTCAATTGCGGAAATTGTGCAAAGAATGTTTAAGCACTTTCTGCCAAATAGTTAAGTCATACTGTTTAAAACAATTTTAAGTGATAATTGCCAACACAATGAAAATATTCTTTTCAAAGTAACATAAGCTCCCACTTCTTCCTTCAAAATCGAAAAAGGAGATTGTGTTTAAAACGGCATTGTGATCATTTGCACCTGCTAACAGTTCATTCTGTGAATGAGCCCCAGGAAGCAGACTACGCTGGATTGCATAAGCAACGCTCCATAATAAATTGGACTTTTGACTAAAACAGACCTGAAAGGTTATTCCTAATGAAGGAAAAAGCATTTCAATATAATTCAGATTTATTATTTCAGGCAAATGAATCAGGATCATCATCTATACTTTCTATTGAGGTTTGTATGAAATACCAATGTGATCACCTCAATTGTTCTCACGTGCTCAAGCTGTGACTGCCTCTCACCAACATTTAAATGTGATTAGCATTCCACAAAGCTGTAGATCAGAACGAATTTCATAACATAGGCCCGAATAAAAGAAATACAGGTTTTAAAAAAAACAACCTAACGTATCACATATGGAATTAAAATTTTGTCTGCATACTTTAAGAATGTTATTAAACAATCATAGTAAACACTTGACTGAACTGGTTGTAGGAAATAACTGAATCTATTTCACTAAGGACAGTTCTTTAGAAGTGGCAAGACATGTGCTGACCTGCAGAGAGTGCTGGCATCTGACGCAGTCTGAAGAATTAAAACAAGTTCTTAGAAACTGCTTCTGTGGCTCTCCTCATGATGGTGATCAAATGCATATATAAAAGTGTTGATGTGCTAATCTGACACTATTTACTTACGTGGAAGTGCCGTCTATAACAAGCAAACCCATATGGGGAAAATCTGAATTTAGTCCACAATTTTATCATATCAACTTCTAATGCCCTTTAATCCTGCCAGCATTTAAAGCCAATATTATGTCAGATTCAAATGTATTTAACCATCTTTTAAAATTAAACTTATATTTTAAACTGGCCTGTATGCTCCAAAAATAGAAGTGATTACATTCATTAATTAATATGGCCTAAACTTTGTATGTCAAGGCAAGACCGTATCAGAGAGGAACCGTTAACAACAGCGTCACAGTGACAAGTCTGAGAAATTTATTTCCAATGCAATTTTCATTTTCCCTCTCTGTTTAAGGGGATGAATTAAAAAGCAAGCACTGCCAACATGACCATTAAGGTCAAAGGAACTCATTTTTTGCATACTGTTCAACAGCACGGATGGCCGGGAATGGGATTATATTAGAACAAGTTAAGAAAAACGCCAACCCATTCACTAACAGAGAACTTAGCCAACGCTCTTCCCTTCTTGGTGAACGGCAGTATTTGGCCAGGGCCACTTTCAGGAAGTACCAACCTATTTGCTGCACTGCTCCTGTGAGAACACGAAGGCGTCAGGACTGCTCTGGTACAACCCCCGCTTAGCTGACCTCAGTCAGCGTCACCCCATGGTGCACGCTGGCCACCTGCACTACACGGGATAAAAATAGAGTTATTTTTCCATTTAATTTACAGCTATCCCAACGTGCTGTTTACAGCGAAGACGTTCAGGGTCGCCATCACCATGGGCACATCCCTGCCTGTCTGTGTTTCTCAGGTGTACAGAAGAGGCGAGGAGGGTCCCACATGCCTTTCAGAGAAACCTCTAACAAAAGGGTAGGTGCAAAGATGAAAGTTTAAACAATACATGTATTTTCCCCTTCTCATCAATATACACAGAATGTTTAACAAACATGTTTGTGGTCTCGGCGGTGACTCTCGGTGCGAAAGGAGCCCCTCAGACTATTTCTGCTCCTCGCTCAGCTTTAATTCCTGGTCTGTAATAGAATCTACCCATCTTCTAAGGAATGAGGTATCAGAATGACAAGCAGAATTTTTAGCTTTTATCTTTTTAAAGCCACACGTGAAAAACATTGTAGTGTGTGTATGTGTGTGTGGGTGTGTGTGTGTAAGATGCAGCTGTGTGATTTCCAAGCAAACCAATCCTTTGATTTGGTTTTATGTGAGAAATCACATGAGAAATAACCTAAGTCTTTTTTCTTTTGTAAAAAATAAAAGTTTACTTGGACTAATATTACAATGCTCAAT